TAAAGTGATAATAACCCATAATTTAATAACTTATGATAATGATATTATTAATTATATATATTATATAATGTATATTAGTATATGTAATATGATTGATATTATCAATTATACTAATAATTATATATGTCTACCAATAGAAATTATTAATTGGTTATACAAAATTTACTAATACATTGATATTAAATCCCTAATTACACTTAATACAATAACATTTATTTCTCAAAAAAAAAGTAAAAGTATAATAATGAATTAGTGATTATATTTGTGTCAAAAGTGAAAACCTGACTATTTTAGTTGTATTTATTTCATCATATTGGATTGTATTCAAATAACTGTTGTTTCATTGTTTTTATAAGTTTCAATTGTGAAATTACAATGAATAATAATTTGGTGATGTTTTATTTTAGTACTTGATTATTTGCTAAAATTTAACTATAATAAAATTATATAATAAATTTTTATTAGTCCTGTGGGGGCACCCACAGGGGAAGTGGGCGCGGTGGGGCCTGCGGGGGACGGAAGATGGAGGGGGCGAGGGGAATTTGTAGGCAGCCGGGGGGGGGAACCCAACCCTGCCCCGTTGCCATCTTAGTTCTAATCCAGAATTTTCTAAAAATTTCATCGACGGATGCAAAGGGACCCGTCTGATTCGGTGGCGATTCAGTCCTTCTGGATTCCCTATTGACCTTCTTGGATCCACCATTCCCTTTAGTATAGAGTAGGAGTAGGTGCAGAATAACATTTATCGTGTCTGGAAAAAAAAAAGCTAGTGGCCGTGGGTCCACCTGTCTTGTGAACTTGTTTGAAGATAATTGCGTTCTGCACCCTCGATAATTATGCATTAGAAGTTTGGACTCATCACTGGTTTGGGTTTAGTACTAGGGCCATAAGTTAAAGTCCCTTCCCTATAGTTTTGAACTTTAAAATTTCTGTACAGTATTATTGTGGTAATTAATCTTGTCTGGGGTGTAAACATACATAATAATACCCAATGCTTTAATGTTCAAGTTTGTCTGTTTATTATGCAAAGTTTGAAATTTTGTTGAAACTTGGATTAATTATTTATTGGGCTAAATTCAAACAACCTTTTGTTAAGTTCAATCATGTAAATTTTTATTTAATATTAATAGAGCCAAGATTGAGCCGAATTTGAAAGTTTATCAAACAAAAAATGTTATTCATGTTTGATTTGATTAGTTGGCGAACAAAATTCAAACTAACTGTAATCGAGCTGAAACCAACAAGTTTTGAGCAGCTTAGTTTGATTTTTGTCCATAATGTCTCAGGTTTTGACCAAATTAGTTCTTAAAAATTCGGAAAAATAGATTTGGTCCTTTGACCGAAAAAATGTCAGTGACTAGAGATTGGTCCAATTGCAACTTGCAAGTGGTGAGGAATGAGGGACAGGAACGACTATAGCAGCAATGGTTCCAAACCGTTAAGGGCTAACTTTGGCCCAAAATTCAATTTTGAAGAATGCACTACAAAATATTTACCCGATTTATATGACTCACCTAATAGAATAGTGCAAGCAAATGTTTACCCGATTTATATGACTCAGACATTGCCAAAAATTGATTACAATGGTAAATATTAAAAAAAAAAATTGAATGGTTTAGACTCTGATTAATTATAGGGAAAATCGTCTAAAACATCCCTCACATTTTGTAAAATGATTTTTTTCGTCCCTTACTTTTAAAAGTGTAATTTTATGTCCCTTACATATTCACATCGGTCAAATTTAGTTCCTAACTAGGTTTCCGATCATTTTTTGGCCGGAATCCATCACGTGCAAGGCACGTGATCATTTTTAAGGGTAAATTTGTCAAATTATATTTTACATAATCTAATCTATAGTCCTCCACATTTTATAAAACAAATTTTTTCGTCCTTCACATTTTATAAAATGATTTTTTCATCTCTCATATTTCACAAATGAATTTATCCATCCCTCACATTTCAAAAAATGAATATTTCCATCCCTCACTAATTATGTGTGTAAGGGAAACCCTTAAAAAAAATATGCGTGTGAATACATTTTGTTTAAATACATGTATATGTCTATTTAATTTTGTTTAATAATACGAATAGTATAAATATATGTATGTGTCTATTTGATTTCACTTAACAATGTGAATACCATATATTATACGTGATCATTTGATTTCATCTGGTATTAACTAGTAAAAAATCTTGCATTCATTATCAAGTTGACCAATAAAGCTATTTTCGGTCAAAATACAATAAGAATATGCAAAGTAAGGTTCTATTGGTAAATATTAGTCATAATCATACAAAAAGAGAAGATAACTCACAAGTTGGGCCCAATTACATACATGTGTTTATACTATTATTATTAAGTAAAATCAAATAGACATATACATGTGTTTAAAAAATGTATTCACACACATAATTAGCGAGAAATGAAAAATTCATTTTTTGAAATGTGAGGGATGGAGAAATTCGTTTTGTGAAATGTGAGGGACGAAAAAAATTATTTTATAAAATGTGAGGGACGAAAAAATTTATTTTATAAAATATGGAGGACTATAGATCAGATTATGTAAAATATAATTAGACAAATTTACCCTTAAAAAATGATCACGTGCCTTGCACGTGATGGATTCCGGCCAAAAAATGATTGGAAACCTAGTTAGGGACTAAATTTGACCGATGTAAATATGTAAGGGATATAAAATTACACTTTTAAAAGTAAGGGACGAAAAAAGTCATTTTACAAAATGTGAGAGATGTTTCGACGATTTTCCTTAATTATAATGGTAAACATGTAATTTACAGAGTTCAGGACCCTTGCCCTTGTCCCTTGTCAACCTATATAGTAAAAGCGTGAATGGGTTCGGTGGTTGCTGTGCTGATGTGGATGTATTTTATTGGGTGGAATTTGGTCGTCAATCACGTGCGCCTCGCGTGCTTACGTTCGTTCTTCGCTGGGAGGAAGAAGTATAATTCTTGCTTTTGTCTGCTGGGAGGAGAAGTAGAATTGGTGCTTTTGTCCGAGAGAAGAAAATGAGCACCAGCTGACTGAGCTTATGGCGGTCGATGATGGCTTGATTGATGACAGGTGTTGGGTGATGGGCTCAATGTGTGTTTGCATGCTTTTACGATTTCGCCTTCTTTAAAAAAAAAACAAATTCACTCTTTCTGTTTCTGAGCTTCTTACTTTCCTTTGTCCTTTGTTCAAATGGGGTTTCGCCTCTGTTCAAGAGAGATGGCAAAAAAGGCCTTTTTGCTCTTCTTTTTTTGATTGAGAGCACTGGAACCTCTTTCTCTCTCCGTTTGCCTGAGAGGAGGGCGCTCTCTGCCTTCTCTTCCCGAGGACAAGCCCAAATCTCTTTCCTTTGATTGAAAGGACTGAAACCTCTTTGTTCCTCCGATGTATGCAGAGGTATCTATGCTACTGGTGCCGCCTTTTCCCCGAGTCATCATCATGGTCCGCGGTAAGTGTGCCTCATGCTGATTGCTCTTTCCTTGCCCTTCCTGTGTTCGCTTGTATGTGCTGCGTTATTAGCTCGTTTCTTTCTGTTCCCTTCTTTCTTTGTCGGACCAGCTGTCTTACTGGCTTCTTGTGCCAAGCTTACTTCCCCTGTTATTGTTAGCTTTTGCCTCCTGGTGAGCTTGTTGTCTGCACTGGCGTGTTTATTTGATTTTCTTCCCTCAATTTTATGCCCTAGCTTGCTGTTACTGTTTCATTTTCTGCTTGCTTTGCTTTAATCCTCATTTTGCTGTTCCTGCCGAAGTTTTTGCTTTCCTGCCAACATTTTTTTCCCTACGCGTTTCGTTTCCCTCCTGTCAGCTGTGCTTACGCCCTTTTTTCTTTGTAGCTCCTGTTCTGCCGTGCTTACCTCGTTCAGGTTTGCTTTCCCGCCTTCTGTTTTATGCTTTCTGTCCATTTCTTATTGATTCTCTTATACCTTTTTCCCTTTTGAGCTCTGCTGCGTACTATACCGCATTTACCCTTTCTCCTTGTATCTTCTTAATCTTTTCCCGCCCTTCGTTGGTTTGTTTGGTGCAGGGACAGGTTCTGCCCTCTTTTCTGCTGCTCTACTGTTGGCTGGATACGCCTTGTTGTGTCTATCTAACGTTAAGGTTACATTCCTTGTTCTCTCTTCTACAAATGCCCAGCTTTTTTTGCCTTGCCTGTTAGCTTGCTTCTGCCCACTAACCATTTGCTTCATGCTTTCTGCTGCGCCACTTTTTAAATATTACAAAGGTTTTCTCAACCATTTACCTTCTTTATTCTTATCTGCTTGGTTTCATGTAGCTGCCAGAACTTTCTTTGCCTTTTCTTTGCTCTGATTCCCCCCACCCCCCAATAAGAATATTTGTTGTGTGCCTTTGTTATGGCATTTCTTTACGTTAACCTTTTTTGCTTCAGCTTTAGCCTCCTTTGTGCTTATTTTGTCGGCTCTATGCCTGTGCATTACATTGATGCGCTAGCCTTTCTTTCACCTTCTAAGTATAGTTATTAGATCGAAAGAGTGCTCGCTTCAGTGGTTGTATAAGGACTTTGCTTGGCTTTAATTTCCTCTGTCTTTTTTCTCCTTTGATAGTAGGCACTTAATGCATACCTTTGTTATGGCATTCCTTTATGTTGGCCTCTTTTCTCCTAAACTTTGGCCTCTGTTGTGCTTATTTTGTCGGCCCTATGATAGTGCATTAGAGATGTGTGTGAACCTCTCTTTCGCCTACTAACACATGTATTAATCAAACGGATTGAATGCTCACTAAGTGGTGCTGCATATAAACTTTTCTTTGGCTTTTCTTTCCTCTGTTTTTCCCCCCTGATGACAGCCATTTAGCGCGCCTTTGTTATGCCATTTCTTTATGCTAGCCTTTTCTTCAGCTTAGCCCTCCTTAGTGCTTATTTTTCGCAGTCCTATAGTAGTGCATTAGGGGTGTGTGTTAGCTTTTCTTTCAACTACTGAGGTGTGTAGTAATCAGATGGATAGAAATGCTATGCGCCGCAAAAATATGCCGAAATGTCTCCTACAAAGAAAGCCGACTCCTGCGCTCTCGAGAGAAGCGAGAGCAGCAAAGAGAGTGAAAAACCTTTACCTGTTCGCGTTCGCAAGGTTCCTTTAGGCTATGTGGAATCTGGTGTGTCGTTGCCAAATGCTCGTTGTATGCCTTGCCGTGGTGCAGATCAGACGTCTGTTCATTCTCAATCGTTGGGGAACACAGATGTTGTGTTTCCCGCTGATAATGTCCTTGCGACTGGTGAAGGATTAGAATTCATGTCCGGGCAACTGCTTGTCCCTTTGGTTCTTCTTCTTCTCCTCCTTTAACAGAACAATTCCTGTCCATAAGCCGCCTCCTGCTGCAGGTATATCAACATTTCTCATCGTCCGATCCCTAGGACTGTTTGCTCCCCTCTCTGAAGCGCCGTTAAACCTTATTCATCTCTATTGGCTGACATTCCTTTCCTTGTACCTCTCAAATCAAATCTGCCTCTGTTCGTAACTGCAGACTTCCGTTCCATCATAGCCTTGCGCCGGTAAAATATCAGGTCGTCTAATGGTGCGGACCAAAAAATCCCTGTTCATTCTACTGATTGCCAAGTCAGTGCTGGATCAAGTAAAGGAGTCCCTAAGAACATACTACCCCTTTCCCCTGAAAATGAACACTTCATGAACAATGAACATTCTGAAATTATGCTTGGCTTGTTCTCCTTGAATTCAACTCTTATCAACTCTGAACAACCAGTCCAGAAACATCTTCCTTGTGAAAGTAATTCTTTCTCTACTACGTTTTCAGATTCTGTTTTACCCCCTCCTGCACAGGTACTGCCTTACCTTGGCATATTCATTGTCTTTGTATCATTGCTGCACTGCTTCGACCAGGCTGTAAAAAAATGAATACTCATCTTTATAGCCTGGTTTCTGAGACCCTTTGCCCTTTCTCCACGTGTCCCTTTAAGGGATTTTGGGCTATTTTTGAATGCTTATTTGGTCCTGCAATTCGCAGGCATAGTTCCTGGAAAGTATGTCGTCGGTTGTGAACCAGCAACTGGTCATTTGGAAATAGGAAGCAGGGAAGCAAATCCTTCTACTTCTCCATCTTTTAGCCGACCTCGTAGCAGGAAACGCAATGCTCCTGGAACTGTAGCCAACCAGAAATCAGGTTGTCATCAGTTTCTGATCTCCCTTGGTCGTTGACTCCCTTAAACTCAGATTTATCTATATATCCATCCAGCGCTAATAGAGACACTTGTATGTAAAAAATAAAACTGCAGCGATAGAACGAACACCTTCATCTTCGTATCTATCTCGTCTTGCCAATATTCCTTCTTCATCTCTGGTTCTACCAGATGCTCCTGATTGTGAGCACTGTGGAGCGAAGAGGTTCCATTTGGAGCCTCCTACATTTTGCTGCTCGGGAGGAGAAATCTCTATCGTCGCTCCTCCAATGCCTTACGATCTGAAACGTTTGTTCATTGGCAACGATGAAGAGAGTGCTCATTTCAGAAACAATGTGCGCACTTATAACAACAACCTGGGCTTCACAACCTTTGCTGCGAAGTATGACTCTGACCTAACAAAGAACACAAAAGGTGTTTATACCTTCCGTGTTCAGGGCCAGGTCTACCACTTCCTTGATGGCCTTATTCACTTGGGCGATAGACCATCTGGCATCCAATTATATTTCTTTGACACTGATGAAGAATTAGCAAAGAGGCTTGGTAACTCTGATAAGCTGCGCGAACACACTTTAAGATTACTTATGCGCGTTCTTTCTAATAATCCTTATACTCGCTTCTTTAAAAGCCTTAAGGATGTTCCGAACATTGACAACCTAAACATTGTCCTTAATTGTTATCCTTCACTTGACCAGCGCGTGTATAATCTTCCCTCTGCCTCTCAAGTAGCAGCTATATGGACTGAAAGTGAAGATCAGTCATCTGATAGGCGCGCTCATATTCGGTCTATTCTCGCTCAGCTGGTAGCCATAGGATCCAGCATTATTATGGTTGTTATGACCCTTTACAGTACCCTCTCCTTTTCCCCGTGGTGAGTGTGGTTGGCACCATGGAATTAAGAGACTTCACAAAAGGAAAAGAGGAGGGGACTCCTGTGAAAGTGATATTACCCTTGATCCAGCTTCAGTTAGCTCCTCATCAGAATTAATAGATTTAGAACAGAGAGGCGAGTACATTTCTCCCTTTATAAGTTACTCAATCCATCCGTTGCATTATATCATCTAATCATGTCCAACCTATTTTTCGTCTTTTAGCTGCTGATCGAGGCAAAACAGAGGCTGATACTGTATCAGTTAGGGAGTACTACTGTTATAGGTTTCAAATAAGGGACACTGATGAGTCAATGTTGTTACACACCCTTAGATTGCTACAGCAGTTTTCGGTTGATGGTTATGTCAAGATAGAAACATCTAGGCTTGACTTCCATAGACATCGGCAAAACAAGATACGCTCCGAAATTCTTCAAGGAGTTCTTGATAGTGTTTCTATTGGCCAAACTGCTGGTTCTAAGGTTGGTCGTAAGGTCATCTTGCCTGGTTCCTTTATAGGTGGGCCGAGGGATATGCGCGTCGCTACCTTGATGCGATGGCGCTGGTCCAAAAGTACGGAAAATCGACATTTTCCTTACAATGACATGTAATCCAGCATGGAAAGAGATTCAAGAGAACTTGAAATACCATGAAAAACCTCAAGACAGGCCGGACCTTCTAGCCAGAGTTTTTAGATCCAAGTTTGAAATGCTTAAAGCAGAATCCTGAATAGGCAAATCTTTGGCGAAGTTGCAGCGTGTGTTTATGTGATCGAGTTTCAGAAACGGGGATTTCCTCATGCCCATTTATTATTGATCTTAAAGCCTGGTCATAAGCTACTTAACCCGGAGTCATATGACAAAATAGTTTGTGCTGAGCTGCCCGACAAAGATCGCTATCCTCACTTGTATTCTCTCGTTATCAAACATATGATCCATGGTCCTTGCGGGGCCATGGATAAATCTTGCCCTTGCATGAGAGACGGAACCTGCAAAAATCGCTATCCAAAAAACTTTTGTGCACAAACAACCCATGGTGAGGATACTTATCCATACTACAGAAGAAGAGACGACGGCAAGAGTATCAAAGTTCGCAGATTTACTCTTGATAATAGGTGGGTTGTGCCTTATAACCCTTACCTACTTGCTTTATTTGATTGCCACATCAACGTGGAAATCTGTTCAACTCTTAAGCTCGTGAAGTACTTGTATAAGTATGTTTTCAAAGGACATGATCTGGTGAGCTTTAAGATTATTTCTTGTGAATCAGTCAATGATATTGATGAAATAAGAGACTTTCAGAAAGGTAGATGGGTTTCACCTCCGGAAGCTTTTTGGCGTATTTATGAATTCAAGCTCAATGAAATGACTCCAGCAGTTTACACTCTTCAAGTTCATCTTCCAGACCAGCAGCTTGTTTCCTTCGACAAGAATTCTGACCTGTTGCAATTACTGAACAAAGTTGATTTTTCTAAAACAATGTTAACTCAGTTTTTCCACATGAATAGAACAAATCACAGAGCACAAACCCTGAAATGCTTCTATAGAGATTTCCCTGAACATTTTGTTTGGTCTCCTAAATATAAGGAGTGGACTGAACGAAAGCGTCGAAAAGTCATTGGCCGGATGGTGACTGTTAGTCCAAAAGAAGGAGAGAGATATTATTTGAGGTTGCTTTTAACTCACATTGCTGGGCCGACGTCTTTTGAAGCCCTTTTGTCTGTTAACGGGCAAAGATTAGCTTCGTTTAGAGAGTCTGCTTTAGCTCTCGGCTTCTGCAGTCTGATGCGTACATAGAGGACACGCTTCGGGAAGCAGTGGCATTCAAATGCCGTCCTCATTGCGTTTATTGTTTGCCACTCTCCTTGTGTACTGTTCTCCGACGAATCCTAGATTGCTTTGGGACAGCTTTGAACTTGACCTTTCTGCCGACTACCATCACCAGCAACCATTCCATGGCCTTTCTTCTCTTGAAATTAAAAGAAAGGTTTTGCAGGATATAAACAGTTCACTCGAACAAATGGGCAAAGCCTTGCTGAATTTCACTTTGTCTCCAATGAATTTACATCCAGTTATGCTGAAAGGCTAACAAAGGAGATTGAGAGTGAAAAAAGCTTACCCGTAGATCCTGAGGATCTGTTGTTGTCTCACAAGTTGAACCCTGAGCAAAAACATGCCTATGATCTAATCCTGAGAGCATGCTTTTCCTTACAAGGACAAGCTTTTTTCATTGATGGCCCCGGCGGGACCGGAAAAACTTTTCTGTATAGGTCACTCCTCGCCACCTTGCGCTCACAGAACCATGTTGCAATTGCAGTGGCAACATCTGGAATTGCGCATCGATCCTTCCCGGAGGAAGGACAGCTCACTCGAGATTCAAGATACCGCTTGATTTCTCGAAAACTAAAACTTGTCAGCTTAGTAAACAAAGCTCAGCTTTCCTTTTGAATCTACCCTTATTTTGTGGGATGAAGCTTCCATGGCTAAGCGGGAAACAATTGAAGCATTTGACGAATTGCTAAAAGATTTAATGGATTCAGATTTGCCTTTTGGAGGAAAGGTTGGTTGTTTTCGGCGGCGATTTCCGACAAACTCTGCCAATCATTGAGCAAGCGACTAAGGAAGTTCTCATAGAATTGACCTTCCCGTTTCTCCCTTGTGGTCTAAACTACACAAAATCAGGCTCACAAAAAACATGCGAGCTATGCTTGATCCAGGCTTTTCTCAATTCCTTTTAAGAGTAGGAGAGGGGACAGAACCTGTGGACGATCGAGGCGAATAACTTTATCCCCAGATATAGTTATTCCTTATGTAGATAAAGAGGTGTCTTTGAACAGGTTAGCTTGCCGCATCTAATCAAAATCAGCCGTTTTTATAGTTATTCCTTCTACTGCATTATTAATGAATATTTTTATGTACAGGTTAATAGAAAGTGTTTTTCCAGATCTGGACTTCTATACCCATGATCCTTATAACCTGATAAATAGATGCATCCTTGCTCCTAAAAATAGCTCTGTCGACGAGCTCAATGAAATGATGATTAGGAAGTTTCCTGGAAACCTTCAAACTTACATTAGCTCAGACAAGACTGTAGATCAACGCCACCAAAGCGATTATGAGGACTTCCTCAATTCGCAGAATCCTAAAGGTCTCCCTCCTCATAAGTTGTTGTTGAAGAAAAACTGTCCAATAATGCTTCTAAGAAATTTAAACCCAGCTGAAGGTCTCTGCAATGGAACAAGGTTGATATGCAGAGATCTCGCACAACACACAATTTCTGCCGAGATTGTTTTTGGCCATCACAGAGGAAAAACAGTTTTTATTCCAAGGATACCTCTTCAGTCGCCTGACAACGACAAGAATGGGATTCCATTCATGCGAACGCAGTTTCCTGTCCGCCTTTGCTTCGCCTGACCATCAATAAATCACAGGGTCAAACACTTGACTACGTCGGCATCTATCTACGAGAACCAGTTTTTTCTCATGGACAGTTGTATGTTGCTTTGTCCAGAGCTAAGACTGCCGCTAAAGTCAGAATTCTTCTTGTTCCTGGAACATTTGAAGGCACAAAAATAGATTGCAAAACTCGGAATGTTGTCTTTCATGAAATTTTTAGATTAACGCAGGAATAGATCATTTTCTACTGCGATCATGCCGGCAAGGTGTTATTCAGCTTTTTAATTCTTAGATATTGTGTTCTTGGATATTTTATTCGTTTCACTTACGCAGCAACTTATGTGTTTATAGGATGGCTAACTTGACTCCAGTATAAGTGCCTGCACCACAGATGGCAATACCCTCTGGTGAGGCTCGGGAGTAAAAATAGGTAAGACTTCATACCTTTTCGTGGTGGTCTGCAACGAGTGTAATGCCCCTATTATGCATTTTAAATCCTCACTCCACTCCACTTGAGGAGTTGTCTCCAACTCGAGGTGCTTGGTTAAAGCCACCTCCATCTCATCCCTGCCATCAGTTTCAAACACTTCCTGCACTACAGGGTCAATAACACTCACAGAAAAAATTGAGCTAAAGTTGGAGTTCGAGGGGTACTTCATAGTATCAAAAATATTAAAATGCACAATTTCCCCATCAAACTCCATGGACAGAATACCCTTATTAACATCAATTTTCGTCTGTGCTGTGCTCATAAAAGGTCTACCCAATAACAGAGGTGAGGGATCAGGGGAGTGATCATCATCCATATCAAGTACATAAAAATCAGCTGGAAACACCAAATCATTAACTTTTACCAACACATCTTCAACCAACCCATCAGGATATGCATTAGTTCGGTCAGCTAATTGAATGATTATTCCAGTTTCTTTTAATGGACCTAATTTTAGAGAAGCATAGATAGACTTAGGCATGACATTTATTGATACTCCCAGATCCAACATGGCCCTTCTGATCACAGTATTACCTATCTTACAGGGAATAGTAAACATACCTGGGTCCCCGCACTTTGGTGGGAGCTTTCTCTGCAGGACCGCTGACACATTCTCCCCAACTATAACCCGTTCATCTCCTCTCAACCGCCTTCGGTTGACACACAAGTCCCTTAGGAATTTGGCATATTTTGGTACTTGTTTGATTGCGTCTAAGAGGGGAATATTTATCTCAACCTTGCGAAAAACCTCCAAAATCTCCTTCTCCTTATCCTGTTTCTTTGATTTTTCCAACCTGCTAGGAAAAGGAGGCGGGTTAGTTTTAGTTGTAATTACTGGGTCAGGAAGTACCTTTAGATCTGCACCATTGTTGTCCTCCCTTTCGAGCTCATTTTCGATCTTCTCTTCATCCTTGTCCTTAGGAATCACAGGTTCAGGCCCCTGAATTTCTTTCCCACTCCTTAGAATCATTGCGCTCACGTTCTTCGGATTCAACTCCGGTTGAGATGGCAGCTTCCCTTGGTTCTGGGACTCCAAACGGTTAATTCTGGTGGCCATTTGATCTATCTGATTCCTTATGTCCTGCATTTCGGAGTCCGTCCTTTGCTGATTTTGCATAATAGCTGCCTCCGTCCTTTGCTGATTTTGCGCCATGGTTGTCATCATTTGTTTCAGCATCTCCTCCATAGATGAACCAGATTGAGGGGGCGGAGGTGGTCGGGGTTGGCATTGCTGCTGGTACCCTGGTGGCTTATTTGGCACAAAGTTAGACTGCTTGTTCAGCGTGAAGTTGGGTTGCCTATTCCCTCCATAACTGAGGTTGGGATGATCTCTCCACCCGGGGTTGTAGGTGCTTGAGTAAGGGTCGTATTGCTTTCTTGGCGCGGGCGCGTGGTCAGCCATGTTCACCTGTTCTGCAGTTTCTTCCTGAATCATTGGGCACATGTCTGCAGAATGACATATACTAGTGCAAATCCCGCATACCCTGGCTTGTGATGCATTTCTCACAGCCTGTTGCCTAACAAACGCAGTCAACTCATTTAGCTGCTGCTGCATAGAGGGTGTCTCTATCTCATTCACCCTACGTATTGGGACATCATCTCTTGTACTGAATTGCTGTGAATTCTCTGCCATCCCCTCTATTAACTCCCGTGCTTCCTGAGGGGTTTTGTTCACCAGTGCCCCTCCACTTGCAGCATCAATGATGCTCCTGTCTCTAAAAAGGAGCCCCTCATAAAAATATTGTGTGATCAACTGCTCACTTATTTGGTGTTGGGGGCACCTGCGCAACAAGTTCTTATACCGTTCCCAATACTCGTAAAGTGACTCCCCTGGATGCTGCTTGATCCCACAAATTTCTTTCCTTAGACTTGCAGCCCTGGACGCAGGAAAATATTTATCCAAAAATTTTTTCTTCAATTGGCCCCACGTGGTGATGCTACCTGGTGACAGGTAGTACAGCCAGTCCTTCGCAGAATCTTTCAAGGAGAAGGGGAATGCCCTCATTTTTATCTGCTCTTCTGTGATTCCCGGGGGTTTCATACTATTGCACACGACATCAAACTCCTGCAGATGCTTATACGGCTCTTCACCTGGTAAACCATGAAAAGAGGGTAAAAGCTGAATCAGACCGGATTTTAGTTCAAATGGAATGTTGTCATTTAAAGCGGGGAAAGTAATGCATAAAGGCTGCTGAGTTAAATCAGGAACAGCCAACTCTCTTAATGTTTGTGCATTAGCCATGGTGCCCTCCTCCTGGTCAGAGTTACTTGAAGTGTCACTGAACGAATCTGTTGGGTCAACTCCTGGCTCAGAGCTCTCAGATGCAGCACTGGAGTGCTCCTCTCTAAGCTGTCTGGTTTCCTTTCTCGTTCTACGCGCGGTCTTCTCTACTTCAGGGTCAAAAACCAAATTACCTGTACGAGAAGATCGAGGCATACACTAGAAGAAAATCAGAAAATTAGGACAAAAATTGAATTTAAAAAGAAACAAATAATAACGCCAAGTCCCCGGCAGCAGCGCCAAAAATTGACAGGTTGTCGAAGCCTGTGCAATAATAAAGTTAAACCTATTTGCCAGTTAAAATGACCAAAACCCAATTCCAAGTACTGGAGCAGGGACTCTAGGTGTGCAATGGGTTACTTGATTCACCCTGTTCCCGAAGAGTTTGCTTGATCCGATATACCTGAATGGAATGGCTATTCCTTTTCACAAATGATTAGGAATTTGTAGACAGGGCAAGTAGGGTCGTATCCACAGAGACTGGGTATATTTGTTTCTTAAGAAATCCAAAGTAACACAGGGGGTGATTTTGTAGGAACGACGATAATCAAATAAACTCAAATGAGAAAATAAAAATAAAAATAAACAACTAACTAGAAATTAAACCACAATTTACTGAACTCAGGATAACAATAATTAAAGGCCTAAATCAATTAAAACAAGGAAACAATCAGAAATAAAATAAAGTAGGCAATTAAAAATCAAATGGCAATCCACTACAATCAAGGAGATATTAACTAAAGATCTAGCCAAGAAATAACTTCAGCAATGGTTCACTTAATTGATCATTGATGCAAAGCAATCCCAATTATTTACCAATAAATAGGTTATAACTACCAACCAAGCGATGACAGTCAACCCCTCCTTACTGTGTCGGTGATCAAGGTACGCCCGTTAATCACTGCTCTAATTGAGGAATAATCCTAGGTACGCCCGTAGAATTTAATTCCCCAACTGCCTTACGTATTAGAGGAGCCCTATTCTAACCAAATAATGCACTACCAGGGTTATTTTAGATTAGTCCGCGTATCCCCCTGACACGAATCTAATCGTGCCAGTTGTCACTATTTTGAGGTAATTAAACGATTACGGATTTAATACCCCAATTGACGATAGACTACCAAATCAATTAATTATCCGGATCCAAGACAATCAACTAATTAAATAACCATAAGCATAGTAATTAGGGAACACACGAATACCAATAAATAAAAGGGAAAGATTAAATTAAATCGATCTCACAATTTTTCAGGTGACCCAAAGCATCCGTTGTTTCTTGACTAGAACGAGGGGATTAGCTCATATTGGATGAACTAAGCCTGCAGGAAATTTCAGCTAAAGTCACGGACATTGTGTGTATTTCAAGAGCCGCAATTCGTCGAACAGTAAGAACGCAAAATGAAAGTCTCAAGCTGCAATTGAATCTACTTATTATTCCCAGCATCCGTGTGGCAGAACCACACCAGCGATACAAAGAGGCAAAGTCAAAGCTAAAGGAAAAGTTGCTTCCTCCTCACATACGTGGAGAAAAGCCAAAGGAAAACTCACAAGAAAAGTCCAAGGCTAAGCATTCCTAATGCCTGCCATTCGTGCCTTTTTTTAAGCCAAAAAAAACTAATTCAAGGAAAAGTCAAGAATGTCTGCCCAAGTCCAGCCGAAAAACTCCCAAAGAAAAGAACTCCCTTCCAACGTCCTTCTCCTTCCTCTTTTAATTGCGGTGCACCCTAGCAGAGCCAAGCCCTCCCAGGTGTCCTTCCTTTACGAAAATTACCAAAATGGGCTGGACACCTTCTGTTCCAAAAGTGCCCCTGAAGCAAGCTTTATCATCTGAATTCTTTCTTTTCTCAATTTGGCACCTGTTATCATATTTATATTCTACTCCCTGAAATAAACGTTAAATACTAAAAATAAGTAGAATCCAGCCAATAAATCTACGTTAAGTCAGGTAATAAGAGGAATTAATAATAAAATAAATGAATAAATTGTACCCTATCAACCATATCAAATATTAAATTATTATTTTCAAAATCTTTTGAACAGTCGAGTTCGAACTTTGTCAATAGAGCACTCCACTCAAGTTTTATATTAAATATTTATTTATTATATTATTGTTATCCAAATTTTTAATTTTAGGTTTATTGGTTACAATAATTAATTACTATTTTAGGTTCATTTGTTTCAATAATTGAGCACTCCACCCGACTTGACTCGATATCACCCATTCACCTAATACATACATCAAAAGCATTTGTGTTTATGCTGATCAGTCTGACAGACAGAACTGGTATGCTCGCGTAAGAGATAAAAAATCTGGACCTGGAGATGGCTATTTCCCGCTTTGATATCATAGTTTTTTTCTTGGATGCTGTACGGGGAAGTAGCAAATTTATCGATGCAGTTGCGCGTGGAAACAAGAGTCACCGAGTACACTGGCGTCAACGCGATCGCATCTTGGGAGATTGGAAGCTTTTGAGGTTAATTTGTGAAGCAATTCACAAGCTGATGAGAGATGAAGATGTAGAGCGCGTGATGCTTAATATGGGATTCAAGATTCAAGCTGCAGCCGAGGAGATTGGTGGGCATGTTGTAATTATAAACAAGAACAACACCCAGATGAAGCTTTCCCCGGTAAATGGCAAAACTCTCCATGATTATTACAGTAAAACCATCAAATGGATGGAAGAGATTGGAGAAGATGCTGAACACCTTTTGGATTTATCCGGGTGGTCGTCGTGTCGACTGCAATCACCATTTGATGTTTCTTTTTGGCTACAATTTGTAACCACTCTGGCCGATATTGTGGACGATACAAAATGGAGCCAGCCAATCGGTGCCTGGCGCAAATACATGGAAGGTGTATCCAGGAATCTCGACTTCGTAGCAGCAGCTGCTGCAGGTGGTGATGATGTAAATGCTATCAATGATTTCGTGACTCGTGTTGCATCTGTGATGGTACGGATTGCAATCCACAGTCTTAAGTACCGGATTCACTACGGGAAAACCGAAGGCAAAATCAAAACCGTAGAAATGATTAAGCTAACTAAATCTGTAGTGGATTTGCAACATGAGATTCATCCTACTAATCCCAAATTCATGGAGTTCCATTTTCATTTCCTTGTGGCTCTCCATAAAATTGGAGGAGTTAAGCCCGATTTTTCCTCTCATTATAGCAATTATGTTGCCACTAAAGTGAGGATCAGAGATACTCGAGAGATCTGTTCTCGAGAGATCTATGGGCTGTTAAAGCTTTTAGCCTTCACCAAACTGAAGCAACAGGAGGAGGGGGAGGAAGAGGATCAGACTATACAAATTTTCCTTGCAGAAATTCATACGGTGCTCATAGAGATGGAATTCCTCAAACAGAAGGAACGAAAGGGTGAGCAACTTATCCATGGCCATTCTGAGCTACGTATAAATGTTTTTCTTCTTCAGACGGAGCTTTTCCTCAAGGGAATGCTTTTCTGTAACAATCAAGGGAGCACTTTCCGAACTGAAGATCTGCTCAATCATGTTAAAGGTGATGTCCCATGGATGCCTAAAAAATTGATACGCTTTTTGGAAAATCTTACGCATTGGGAGGCAGAATATGGGAATAAGGCATTGGCTCTCATTAAACAAGTGGACTACAAAGTAGCATCTCTCCATCAGTTGTTTGAGGCCAAGAAGATCACAGAATCCACGGTGAGAAACTCAATTCTTCTATTGCTTCTTAACATTGTTGTTTTCAAAGCAGAAGCATTATTTGAGAAGTTACAACTGGAGAGGAGTAGTGCTGCAAATTCCGAGGCTTATCGAAAAGATCAAATTGCACTTCTTGTGCTCCTTAATCTTTTCACACTTCTCTGCAACCAGCTAAAGGAGGAGACAGAGGAAATGGACACGATCTTCCCACAAACTGAAACTTCTGATGCAGGGATGGCAGGACCCATCCACAATATGATCATCTCATCTTCTAGACTGCAAGATAAGCTGAATCCTATCAAGTCTACGCTCAGAGTGGTTAGTCCCCCATTTCCATTGTCTGATTTTCCCAAGACATACAAGCCAGGGTTCGTTGAATTTCTCATCGGAAGCCTGGAGGAACTGCTGAACTATGATCCTGCGTCAATTAAACCAGTCAGGAATTACATAAAAGAAATTCATCTACATTTCAAGTCTTTGGGTTCTTTTCTCATGAAAGTCTCAGAGTCTTTGGATATTAATGACAATCCAGAAGTGAAAGATCTTAGTGGTCATGTTGCCAATATTGCTTATAAAATTGAGTTTGTCATTGACTCAATTGTGGTCGATCCTCAATGGCAAGGTTTCTTTTTGGTTTATGATCTACTAGAGGAGTTAAGAATTGTTAATAAGCGAGCCTCTAGAATTCAGTTGACGACCCCTGAAGCCAAAGTCCTGGATAACAAACACGTCAGCCAGGTTCCACGCAACGTGATATCACGGGATGATACACCTGCAATTAATGGAATGGTGGTGGATCCCAGAGATGAAGAACAATCTATAACTGATCAACTTGTCAAGGGATCCTCAAAGTTTGGTATTGTTTCTCTTGTGGGAATGCCCGGTATTGGCAAGACAACAATGGCTTGGAAACTGTTTAACTGCCAAAAGGTTTTGTCTCACTTTCATTGTCGTGCATGGTGTACTGTTTCACAAGAATATGACAAAAGAGAACTGTTGCTGGAGATTTTACGTGACATTCTTCATGGGCTTACGGATGAAATTCGCCTAATGACTAATGAAGATCTCCAATTAAAATTGCATCAGTGCTTACTAAGAAACAAGTTTCTCATTGTTATGGATGACGTGTGGGATGCTGGAGTTTGGAATGAGTTAAGAAATGCATTCCCAGATGATGCCAATGGAAGCAGAATTTTGATTACGAGCCGCCTTCGTGATGTGGCCTTGCAAATTGGACCAGATATTGATCCTCATTCTCTACGCTTATTTTCTGATGATGAAAGCTGGAACTTATTAGTAGAGAAAGTATTCCATGGTGAAGGTTGTCCCGAAGAATTGTTGCTTGTTGGAAAGGAAATTGCCAAAAAGTGTAAAGGATTGCCTCTTGCTGTTGTTGCAATATCTGGTCTCCTCCAAAAGATAGAAAAGAGCAGAGCATCATGGGGGAAAATTGCAAAAGGCTTGATTGCTGAAGTTATGGAAGATCCAAAAGCTCAGTGCATGGAAATCTTTGAATTGAGTTACAAACACTTACCGGGATATCTAAAACCGTGCTTTCTTTATTTGGCAGTTTTCCTTGAAGACAAGGATATTCCTGTTAGCAAGTTGATACGGTTTTGGCTTGCTGAAGGTTTCATTCATGACTCTGAGTTGAAAAGCTTAGAAGGTATTGCCGAGGGTTACTTGATGGAGTTGATTAGCAGAAGCCTGGTGGAAGTCTCCAAAAGAAGATCCAACGGAACGGTCAAATCATGTCGCTTGCATGATCTGTTACGTGATTTTTGTCAGTTAAAAGCCAGGGCAGAGAACTTCTTCCGGCTAGTAACCAGGTCTGATGAGCCATACGCCTCTTTTCCTTGTTCAAATTTTGGTTTTGTAATTGACCATCCTCCTGATCCTGTAACATATGAGGCCTACCGATTGTGCTTTTTTTTGAAGCGACTCCATTTGTTTAAATCAGAACATTTTGGCCAGGGCACTCGTTCTTTGATATTTTTTCCTTCAGCTGATTCAGAGCCCAGAAGTCCTTATAACATCTCATTCATTTGGCAGAAATACAAACTTCTGCGGGTGTTAGATTTTGAATGCATCAACCTGGGTTCCACCTTCGATGTTGGCATTACATCCCTGGTTCATTTGAGGTATTTGGCAGTTACTGGTTATATGCGTTCTATTCCACAATCCATTTGCAATCTCCGAAAACTAGAAACTTTTGTTTTGAAGGGATTACATGATCCGGTTGTCTTACCAGATAGTATTTGGCACATGACAAGGTTGAGGCATCTTCATGTGAATTTGTATGTTGCATTCACATTGGATGATGAAGGGCTTGAAGTCTGCTCTAAGTTGGGTGATTTGGTCAGTCTTTCCCGTCTCTCTCTCTTTTGTGGTGAAGATACAGAGAACATAGTGAAGAGGTTGCCAAATCTTCGTAAACTGAGATGCATATTCTTTCACCCACGGGATTCTTCCAAGTATTGTGGAGAGTTTCCAAAACTGGATTCTCTTGCTCATTTGGTGTCGCTCAATGTATTTTACTTTGGGAGAGCCATCACCAGTGAATTCGTTCTCCCACCAAATCTGAGGGAATTGACTCTTTCAAACTTTCACCTACCATGGAGCCACATCTCAACAATTGGGAGACTACCCAACCTGGAAGTCCTCAAGTTACTTCTTGGTGCCTTTGAGGGGCTGGTATGGGAAATGGAGGAAGAACAGTTCAAGGAACTTAAATTCTTGAAGTTAGACGATCTGAACATTTGTCAATGGAATGCTACTTGTGATCACCTTCCCAAACTTGAACGGCTTGTCTTGCAAAATTGCAAAGACCTCGGGGAAATCCCGAATGATTTTGCTGACATAGGTACACTGGAAGTGATTGAAGTGCACTGGTGTGGACAATCTGCAGAAGAGTCTGCAAAAGGAATCGGGGAAGCAGTTGGGGACATCAAAGTCATTATTAGTTCATATTCGAGATGATGAGCATGATTGTGGATTCTGTTGTATTACTCTACGAACTTGTAAGATAATAAAATTTCAGCAACTTGTTCTTTTCTCGATTCATTTGTGAGATGATGTGTTTCTTCAACTTCAAACTAATTGACGCAATGGATGTTCAATCTGGATACTCAACTATCAATTATTGCTTGAGATCTTTGGAAAGGTGAATTCAAGTTGTTTAAGTTGGTTTTGTTGGTAATGCATTCGGGATATATATGTAATTTTACTATTAAATTATATATATATATATATATATATATAAAATCGAGTCGATTCACGGGCTAACGAATTGAGTATTTTTGAACTTGAGTTCGATTTCGATATTGACCGAGCTCAACTCAAACTTCTCGCGAGTGACTTGCGAGTAGCTTGAATCGTGTGCAACCCTACTTCTAACAAGGTGCTCGTATTAATCGGTACATGATACTAATTCTAATTTTAATCAGTATACCATCCTTTCTTTCATATTATGGCTTAATAGGCCATAATATGATGCATAACGATCACCAAGGCTATCCAGTAAAGCAATAGAGAATTGTAGTTGCAGCATTACTAACGGTGTTCCTTTAATCAAAGAAGAAGTGCAAAAGCAACTGCATAAAAGTTGAAATCACAAGGCCACACCTAACTGCTAGGCAGGGGATTCGAAACCTAAATTTAGCAACGAAAAAGATTCTAAAAACATTACCTTGGCCATTAGTTAAGTGTTCTTCTTTTAAAAGGATTAGTTAATTGTCTTTTCCTTTGCGATGCAGAATTAATTTATCATATTATATTTTCAAGCAGAATTATTATTATAAGAACAGACTAATATAGAAAAAAGTGTACACATTGTTTATCAAGAGTCAAAACAAATAACACAACTATACTAAGCAAGTTAATATTTTTATTATGCTAAGATTTGGTGAAAAAATAAATAGCTCTTGCTTTGATATGTGATAAAATGAGTTCCGGAAGCAAAATAAGTAACATTGTTTTACTGAAAGGCTCTATACAACATTTTTTAGCCTATAATTAATAAACTACAAAAATGTGGATGGTAAACAATTTCTATAGCTATGAGGTAAAATAAAAAATGTCCTGTATTATTATTGAAAATAACATCAAAGACAATAAATAAGAAATAAAAAAGATAAATAATACGTAGCAAATATATGTAGATGCTGAATACCAATTATAAGACCGTGAGCAATAACTAATGTAAACATCTCACACTCCAACTAAAGCTAAAAAAAAAATTCCAAATTTGCTCTAGAGTTGCAAATGAAATATTGTGAATGCATACTAACAAGAATTTCAAATAGAAATAGCTTCCCAAACTACAGTTTGATAGGCAAAAAAGAAAACAAAGACAACATCTAACAAGAAAATCTACAGTTGTAGGTAACATATCTTCTGAGATTGTAAGTAATTTAGTGCACTAAACTTGTTACAAGGATTACTTAGCAATCTCAACTAGTCAAATAATTTCTAGCATTAAAAAAATTAGACTCTAACAATTTATGGACTTTCATTTTCACATATATTAATGAATAACAAAGAGTGACAAACATTCAGGCCTTTTCAAGCCATCTAAAAAATGGTAATTACACACCTAAAAAGAGTGCAAATGCTCAAATTATGTATGTGAATGAAGTACTCAACAATACAATTGAAAAATAGATTGCTAAACAAACAAAATGCTTAACCTAAAACTACTTGTCATACCTGCATATCAATGGAAGGGTACAGTACTATCTATATTCTTAAATCTCTATGCTTCAGAAACCTATATGCTTGCCTTTCGTAGTAATCAATCTCAATTAATCCTTTAACAACTTCAAAAACTTACATTCTAACTCTTCCTGATAAATAATTTCAATAAGTCCTTTAATGTATATTCTTAACTCTTTATGATTCGAAAACTACATTCCTACCCCTTGTGGTAAACAATCTTATTGATTCCTTTAGCAACTACATTCTTCCAGCAAAGAAAATCATTATTAGATCTTTGTATTAAATCTTATTATTTATAAAGGACAATTTTGACATCTTAGATGCAACCATTAGTTTAGATAGTTTCTATCCAACTTTCAATTTAGTTAAAATCATAAGGAGTTAGAATGTAGGTTTCTGAATCTTAAGGAGTTAAAGTTAAACATTCAACAAACGATAAAAGGTTTTCTTATATTTAACCCAATTTAATGCAAAATTTTCGAACCTAATTAAGAATCCTTGAGCATGCCTTCATAATATCAAGCCAACTCTAGCTTGCAAGTGTATCTTTAATAAGTTTGTTTGCATATGCATAAGGCGGATTTATTAACCAATGTCCACTGTCCAACAAATGGTTGTAGAGTAACAAGATTAGCCAGCACTTAAAGTAGTAACTACTGGTGTAAATATCCACAAATTGGTTTTAAACAAACTACAATAATACTTTTATCCCTTGGGTGTAAAAACAGCAGCTACTAATTTGAATGTCCAAGAATTGCTTGTAAACCAACTAGTGTAATACTGGCTTACAACTTGTAATAATAGTAATCAACAATGTAAATCTCCCCCATTTTGTTGTAAGCTAAAGATATCAAATATTGAATTGACCCTTAAATGTATAAATAATAATCAGTAGTGTGAATTCCCAACAACTACTTATAAGCTAACCAAAATCGAATTAGCAATAAACAAGTTTCTTCCAAAGTTTTGTATCTGAAAGCAATTCACATCACGATCAAAATGTTTTCACTGGGCTAACTCATAACAATTCAACCACGCATTCTTCTGTAATTATTGAAAAATCAAATATATCTACAGCAGCTAAATAATCAGAAGGGACAAGTTTCTTTGCAATGTTTTTATGTACTATTACATAAATTCTTCTTTAGCAAGACCAATTCAAACAGTGCCAATTAAGAGATTATAATAGCCCTAATCTACCATTCGATTTGGATCATTAGGATTTTTGCTAATTTTCTTCTTATAGCAGTCATTAAATATCGAGAATTTCTTCACATGTATGGAAAAAAGCAAATGCCTTTTGTGTCCCCTTGTACTATTTGGCAAATGTCTTACCAGATACTATTTGGCACATGACAAGGTTGAGGCATCTTCATGTGAATATGCATGTTGCTTTCACATTGGATGATGAAGGGCTCGAAGGCTGCTCTCAGTTGGGAAATTTGGTCAGCTTTTCCCGTCTCTCTCTCTCTTGTGGTGAAGATGTAGAATCAATAATAAAGAGGTTGCCAAATCTTCAGAAACTGAGATGCATATTCTTTCATCCACAGGGTTCTTCGAAGATTTCCTATCAGTTTCCAAGATTAGATTTTCTAACTCATTTGGTGTCGCTCAATGTATTTTACTATGGAAGCGCTATTACCAGGGAATTCATTCTGCCTTCCAATCTGAGGAAATTGACTCTTTCAAACTTTCGTCTATCCTGGAGTCTGATAGGTTGCAATTTTATCATTTATTTCATTATTAATTCCTCCTATTACCTGACTTGATGTGGATTAATTGCGGGATTCTACTCACTTTTAGTATTTTGCATTTATTTCAGGGAATAGAACGAAAATATAATAACAGGTGTTAATTTGGCAGGAAAAGAGTCCAGATGATAGAGCTTGTCCTAAGGACATTTTTGGAACAACAAAACATGAGCCCTTGTTGGGCAAATTGGGCCGAAATCTTCATTTTTCCGCACAGGAGCCGCCGCAAGGAGCACTACTTTATATAGGAAAATTGTGCAGGAAAAAAGGGGTGCTTCTTCTTCCTCTGCGTCTTCTTCCCCCTGGGGGAGCCGCCGCACATCGAAGAGAGGACTAGCACTAGTTTTTTGGCTTTTCTGTAGTAGTTTTCCTTCTGAGTAATGAGGACCTTTAGCTTAGCTTTCCGTTTGACTTTTCCGTTTTTGCGTCTTTGAGTAGTGGCTCCCTGCGCGGATGTCAGGGGCAATGAATTTAGCTTTTGTAGTTTAGCTTTTGTAGGGACAATCACTTTTGTAGTTAGCTTTTCATTTCATGATTCGAACCGAGCTCTCAAAATCGGGGACCATGGCCGCAATTATTTCTGAATTTGTGCGTGGGTCCCTTGTGTCAGGGATGACTTAAATCCCTTTTTCTAGTCAAGGAGCAACGAAGGCTCTGAGTCACCTAAAATTGTGAGATCGATTCAATTTTATCTTTTCTTTTTATTTATTGGTATTCGCATATTCCCTGGTTACAGTGCTTATGATTGTTTAATTGATTGATTGTCTTGGATCCGGATAATTAGTTAATTTGATAATCTATTGTCAATTGGGACGTTAAATCCGTAATTGTTTAATTGTCACAAAATAGTGACAACTGGCATGATTGGGTTTGTATCAGGGGGATATGCGGGCTAATCTAAAATAACTCTGGTAGTGCGTTTTTGGTTAGAATAGAGCTCCTCTAATACGTAAGGCAATTGGGGAATTAAATTCTATGGGCGTACCTAGGATTGTTTTTCAATTAGAGAAGTGATTAACGGGCGTACCTT